CTCTAAATCAAAACACCCATGCCACATCCAATGCCCCCACCCACTACATTACAACTTCACCCCCACAGCAACAACCCATAGTTCCGTACCAGGTCTCCCACTTCCCCAACCCCAATATACTTCCCAGACCACAGTCTTAGAAAAGAAGTTGAAGGTGTGATATACAAATGCAGATGGAATAACAAACAAGTATGAGGAGTGGCACGAAAGAATCAAAGAGACATCCCCAGACATAATAGCACTCACAGAAACAAAACTCACCAGAATAATAACAGATTCAATCTTTCCATCCGGATATCAAATCTTCAGGAAAGACAGAGGGAGGAGAGGGGGAGGAGGAGTTGCACTGCTCATTAAAAACCAGTGGGGTTTTGAGAAAATGGAAGGAATGGATGGCATGGGCGAAAGGGACTACTTAGTAGGAACAATCCAGTCTGAGGGACACATGGGGGGAGCAAAGTTACTAGTTATGGGTGATTTCAATCACAAGGAGATTGACTGGGAAAACCTGGAGCCCCATGGGGGTCCCGAAACATGGAGAGCCAAGATGATGGATGTGGTACTGGAGAACCTCATGCATCAACATGTTAGAGACACTACCAGAGAGAGAGGAGAGGATGAACCAGCAAGGTTGGACCTTGTATTCACCATGAGTAGTTTGGACATCGAGGGTATCATGTATGAAAGGCCCCTGGGAGCTAGTGATCATGTGGTTCTGTGCTTCGACTACATAGTTGAGCTCCAAGTGGAGAGAGTAGCAGGAATAGGCTGGGAAAAACCAAACTACAAAAGGGGGAACTACTCAGGCATGAGGAACTTCCTTCAAGACATTCAGTGGGAGAGGGAACTGACAGGAAAACCAGTACAAGAAATGATGGACTATGTAGCAACAAAATGCAAGGAGGCAGAGGAGAGGTTTGTTCCCAAGGGAAACAGAAATAATGGGAAGAACAGAACGAGTCCTTGGTTCACCCAAAGGTGTAGGGAGGCAAAAACTAGGTGTACTAGAGAATGGAAAAGGTACAGAAGACAGAGAACTCAGGAAAATAAAGAAATCAGCCGAAGAGCCAGAAACGAATATGCACAGATAAGAAGGGAGGCTCAGAGACAATATGAAAATGACATAGCATCAAAAGTAAAGACTGACCCGAAGCTGTTGTACAGCCACATCAGGAGGAAAACAACAGTCAAGGACCAGGTAATCAGACTGAGGAAGGGTGATGGGGAATTCACAAGAAACGACCGAGAGGTATGTCAGGAGCTCAACACAAGATTTAAAGAGGTATTTACAGTGGAAACCAGTAGGACTCCAAGAATTCAGAACAGGGGGGCACACCAGCAAGTGCTGGATGAGGTACATATAACCAAGGAGGAGGTGAAGAAGCTGCTATGCGAACTTGACACCTCAAAGGCGGTGGGACCAGACAACATCTCTCCATGGGTCCTTAAAGAGGGAGCAGAGATAATGTGTGAGCCATTAACAAAGATCTTCAACACATCATTTGAAACTGGGCAACTCCCTGAGGTATGGAAAATGGCAAATGTAGTCCCAATTTTTAAAAAGGAAGACAGACATGAGGCACTAAACTACAGACCTGTATCACTAACGTGTATAGTATGCAAGGTCATGGAGATCATCAGGAGGAGAGTGGTGGGGCACCTGGAAAGAAACAAATGTATAATTGACAACCAGCACGGTTTCAGGGAAGGAAAATCCTGTGTCACAAACCTACTAGAGTTTTATGACAAGGTGACAGAAGTAAGACAAGAGAGAGAGGGGTGGATCGACTGCGTATTTTTGGACTGAAAGAAGGCTTTCGACACAGTTCCTCACAAGAGGTTACTGCAAAAGCTAGAGGACCAGGCACACATAACAGGAAAGGCACTGCAATGGATCAGAGAATATCTGACAGGGAGGCAACAACGAGTCATGGTACGCGACGAGGTGTCAGAGTGGGCGCCTGTGACAAGCGGGGTTCCACAGGGGTCAGTCCTAGGACCTGTGCTGTTCTTGGTATACGTGAACGACATAACGGAAGGGATAGACTCAGAAGTGTCCTTGTTTGCAGACGATGTGAAGTTAATGAGAAGAATCAAATCGGACGAGGATCAGGCAGGACTACAAAGAGATCTGGACAGGCTACAAGCCTGGTCCAGCAACTGGCTCCTTGAATTTAACCCTGCCAAATGCAAAGTCATGAAGATTGGGGAAGGGCAAAGAAGACCGCAGACACAATATAGTTTAGATGGCCAAAGACTGCAAACCTCACTCAAGGAAAAAGATCTGGGGGTGAGTATAACACCGAGCATATCTCCTGAGGCGCACATCAATCAGATAACTGCTGCAGCATATGGGCGCCTGGCAAACCTACGGATAGCGTTCCGATACCTCAGTAAGGATTCGTTTAAGACTCTGTACACCATCTACGTCAGGCCCATACTGGAGTATGCAGCACCAGTTTGCAATCCACACCTAGTCAAGCACGTCAAGAAATTAGAGAAAGTGCAAAGGTTTGCAACAAGACTAGTCCCAGAGCTATGGGGATTGTCCTATGAAGAAAGGTTGAGGGAAATCGGCCTGACGACACTGGAGGCCAGGAGGGTCAGGGGAGACATGATAACGACATATAAAATACTGCGCGGAATAGACGAGGTGGACAAAGATGGGATGTTCCAGAGATGGGACACAGGCCCAAGAGGTCACAATTGGAAGTTGAAGACTCAGATGAATCAAAGGGATGTTAGGAAGTATTTCTTCAGTCATAGAGTAGTCAGGCCATGGAATAGCCTAGAAAGTGATGTGGTGGAGGCAGGAACCATACATAGTTTTAAGGCGAGGTATGATAGAGCTCATGGGGCAGGGAGAGAGAGGACCTAGTAGCAATCAGCGAAGAGGCGGGGCCAGGAGCTGTGACTCGACCCCTGCAACCACAAATAGGTGAGTACAAATAGGCGAGTACACACACACACACACACACACACACACACACACACACACACACACAAGGTGGACAAAGACAGGATGTTCCAGAGACTGGACACAGCAACACGGGACACAGTTGGAAGCTGAAGACACAGATGAATCAAAGGGATGTTAGGAAGTATTTCTTCAGCCACAGAGTAGTCAGGAAGTGGAATAGTTTGGGAAGCGATGTAGTGGAGGCAGGATCCATACATAGCTTTAAGCAGAGGTACGATAAAGCTCATGGTTCAGGGAGAGTGACCTAGTAGCGACCAGTGAAGAGGCGGGGCCAGGAGCTTGGACTCGACCCCTGCAACCTCTACTAGGTGAGTACACACACACACACACACACACACACACACACACACACACACACACACACACACACACACACACACACACACACACTACCCCTCTAGGTTTTCTTCTGTTTTCTTACTAGTCCTTGTTCTTGTTTATTTCATCTTATCTCCATGGGGAAGTGGAACAGAATTCCTCCTCCATAAACCATGCATGTCGTAAAAGGCATGTAACTAACATGCTGGGAGCAAGGGGCTAGTAACCCCGTCTTCCGTATTAATTACTACAGCTGAAAAGAAAAACTTTTGTTATTCTTTTTGAGCCACCCTGCTTCGGTGTTAACCCTTAAACGATCCAAACGTATATATATACATTCTTACGCGTAGCGCCCCAAACGTATATACTAATGTGCAAAATTTTTTTGAGATGATTTCATACAGTAGTGGTTATTTAGAATGTTGTACTGTAATTTTTTTTTTTTTAGCACATTGGCTGTTTCCCACCGAGGCAGGGTGACCCAAAAGAAAGAAAAACCCAAAAACAAAGAAAAGACTTTCATCATCACTCATACATAATCACTGCCTTTGCAGAGGTGCTTAGATGTGACAGTTTAGACATCCCTCCAAACTGCCAATATCCTAAACCCCTCCTTTAACCCTTAAACTGTCCAAATGTAGATCTACGTTCACTCAGGTAGCGCTCCGAACGTAGATCTCTTGTTTTTTTTTTTTACATTCTTTCTTATGGGGAAAATAAAGGTCGAAGTGCTACGCCTAAAAACGTAGATCTACGTTTGGACAGCTTAAGGGTTAAAGTGCAAGCTTTGTACTTCCCATTTCCAGGACTCAAGTTTGGCTAACCAGTCTCCCTGAATCCCTTCACAAAATATTACTCTGCTCACACTCCAACAGCTCATCAGGTCCCAAAAACCACTCATACTGTAAATATGACTTTTAATTGTTCATATTTTGTAATGGATTCCCATATCTCCTGAATCTTGTCATATCTATAATGGAATTTTTTTGTAACACAATCTGTCTCTCACTGAGGCAAGGTGATCACCATTACTCATTCAGTCAGTTTTGCCAGATGCATTCAGACATCATAGTTCATATGGTCCTCTGAGCTGCAGCATTCCCACCTCACCTTCAGAATGCAAGTACTGTATTTCCCACTTGTGCCAAAAAATGTACTTGTTTACTGTGTTCATATCTTGTATGCTGCAATTAGGTCTCATTTGGTTTTCCTTTTTGCATTTTCTTATATTTGATTAAACCTTTTTCAGTTTGTTACCATCTCATTTTGGGGTTTATACAACATCGACCGCAACCTTATCTTCCCACCGGAGTTTGACAGTTGGTTTCCATTGTGGTTGAACCACAACATACACACCACACCGTTAGTGGGAGTCCTGATCGAACTCTACTTTGTACCACACATATTTCCTAGACGGAAAACGGGCCTAGGAGTGGTGGCAGTGCTCGGCTTGCTGTATCTTATATGGTAAGTTGAGTAAGATAAGTTAAAGCATTGTACTTAATATCAGATAAGTTTAGAATTCTCTATTAATAACAGCAACATAACAGTTTCTTGAAAGTTGTTCTGTTTTATGGGGTGAGCTGTTTAATCATTCGGTGTTTTCTTCTTAATATTTGCCATAGTGATAATTAACTAATTTTTAAAAAGTATTATGCAGTCAGAGGCCATGCTCTTGCATATATAGTCTTACCTCAACAACAGGCACTAACATGTAACCATTAACCCTTTCAAGGTTGAGAGGCCCTCTCCTAAACTTGTTCTCAGGGTCGAAAATTTTTTGGAAAAAAAAAAATTATTTTTTCTTATGAAAAGACAGAGAATCTTTTCCTGATCATAATGACACCAAAAGTATGAAATTTGATGGAAAACTTACGGAATCATACTCTTGCGAAGTTAGCGGTCTCGGCAATGTTTATGCATCGGTGATTTCGCCCACTTTGAGCCCTATTTTCGGCCAATTCCAGTGTAACTATTTCGCTAGAATTCTATTTTTTTCTATCGGATGAGTACAAGAAACCACCCATTTTCCGATTTTAACTATCCAATAAAGTGGTCAGAATTTAGCAATTTTGCCAATTTCACACAAATTTCAGAAGATGCCAATTTCCAAATAGGGTCCAGAATAAACAAGACAGACATTCCTGGCACTAAAATAACATTTTCTCTGTTCATTAGTCACATCCTCAGGCCCCTCTTAAATTTCTTTTGCTTTCCACTTTGAATTTTTATTCTCACAAAAAATAGAAGATTTACTGTTATGCAGACTACTGCATTAGTGTAGAAATGGTATAAATAATATCAGTGCACTTGTGAAAGAATATTAGACTCACCAGTTGATGTGTATTGGACCCTTTGCATGATTTGTTTATTTTTGAACTTTTGTAAAAATCGAACATTTCTGCTACTTTGAGCTCAATTTCAAGGTACTTTTCGTTGTAAAACCAGTCAAAATCATCTCAATTTCTGTAATATGTCTTCCATTCTATAAAATGAGACCAGGAAAACTAGAATACAACCATCAATACCATATGAAAATACACTGCAAATTCGCTGTTTTAAACCAAAAACACGGTCAAAGTTTTTTTTGTGTGCTGCAGGATTTCTTTTATACTGTGCACACTGACCACATAGACCCATTCTTTCATATGTAGGCCTACCAGCTTTCTCTCGCTAGATTTGAAGGCGCTAGAATTTAGGCATTTAGGCATTCTATTACGTCAATAACCCTGGTGCGTAAGCCGTACTAGTACATCAGAAACCCTGAAAGGATTAATGTCAGTGTTTGACTACCCTTCCAATCAACATAGGGTGCTCCAGGGCATTGTCCTATAATAATAATTATACAATAATAACAATTTTTTATTTTCTTCGTGGGGAAGTGAAACAGAATTCTTCCTCCGTAAGCCATGCATCTCGTAAGAGGCGATTAAAATGCCAGGAGCAAGGGTCTAGTAACCCCTTCTCCTATATATATTACTAAATGTAAAAGGAGAAATTTTAATTTTTCCTTTTGGGCCACCCCCGCCTAAGTGGGATATAGCCAGTGCGTTGAAAGAAGAATTTTTATTTTAGCATGATACATGTTTGTACAAAGGAGTATAACAATTTGGTGTACATGCCAAAAGCCCCTTTATGTGCAGAGCTTTTCGGGCAAACTTAAGACTAACTTAAGATAAATAAGGCAGTATCAGTGTAATAACTGTACATATGGTCATTAGGTGAATTACAATGATTATAAGAAAATTGAATATTCTATTAGTTCATGCTATATGGTTTTAGTAAGTTTGGTAGAGAAGAATTACACTTTTGATTATCAACCTAGGGTGAACACAATGGAATGATTAACGTTACATTTGAGAGGATTGCAGATATTGTTTTACTTAGGTTCGTGATATTGAGCAAATGCACATTGGGTTTTTACATACAGGCTAGGATAGGTTAAGGAGATAAGGTGTTTTCTAATTGTAGTTTTAAAAATGCTAGCTGAGCCAGTGGTTCTGGAGACCCAGAGACAAATTGCATAGGTGAGGTAGGGGTAGATCAGTGAATAGTATAGCATAAATGGTGCTGTTTGTGGTACATAGTAACATATCTTTGAAAGGATGCAAACTGTTTTACTTTTTTTGTGATGTGTTGGATATGGGTGTTGAATTTCAGGTTGCTGTCGAGGTGTAAACCCAGGAATTTTCCCTCGTTATGCTTAGTAATAAGTACAGTGGACCCCCGCTTAACGATCACCTCCAAATGCGACCAATTATGTAAGTGTATTTATGTAAGTGCGTTTGTACGTGTATGTTTGGGGGTCTGAAATGGACTAATCTACTTCACAATATTCCTTATGGGAAAAAATTCGGTCAGTACTGGCACCTGAACATACTACTGGAATGAAAAAAGTTCGTTAACCGGGGGTCCACTGTATGTTGTTAAGCATAATGTTTAGTTGGACCTCACTTGCTCTACTCCCAAACATAATGTAAAAGGTTTTGTCTATATTCAGTGTAAGTTTATTGACAGTCATCCAGGTTCCTATTTTTGCGAGCTCTTCATTAGCAGTAGTATTGAGTGAGGCTAGATTAGTATGAGAGATGACAAAAGTCGTGTCGTCAGCAAAGAGAATAGGCATAAGTTGTTGAGATATGCTTGGAAGGTCGTTGATATATAAAAGGAAAAGGAGGGGACCAAGAACGCTTCCCTGTGGTACACCAGTATCTAGGGGTCTTGTTGAGGAGGTTGTGTCATTGATGGAAACGTATTGCTTTCTATTAGTAAGGTATGATTTGATATATGCAAGTGCGTGGCCTCTTATTCCATAATGACCAAGCTTGAGGAATAGGATGCTGTGGTCTAAAGAGTCCAAGCGGGTATTCGTTTTTTCAAGTGCTGTGTAAGAAGGTCTAGCATTTTTATTATTGCATCATTTGTGCTTTTGTTTCTCCTGAAGCCAAACTGGCAGGGGTTGAAGATGCTTCATGATGTTATGGAGTATAACCTTTTCTGTATGAGCTTCTAAAAGATTTTGGTAAATAAAGGCAAGTTTGATATTGGCCTATAACTGTTTACATCTGTTGGGTCACCACCTTTGTGTATTGGTGTTATCCTTGCTATTTTGAGTGATGCTGGGAAAGTGTTGGTTTCTAATGATTTGTTAAAGAGCAATGCAATGGTGGGTGAAAGGATTTGAGCTGCTTGTTTGTACACTAGTGATGGTACTTGGGTTACACTTCCTGGCCCTCTACTAGTAGTGATGGTACTTGGGCTACATTTCCTAGGCCCTCTACTAGTCCTTATTTACAAGTCATGGTACAGGCGGGGCTTGAACTCACGACAGGCGAGTCGTAAAGCCCCAGGCCAGTCCTCATCTGCATCAGTGACCTATCTCTTGCTTCTCAGAAACTTACACCACTTCTGTTTTCAGTTGGCACGAGTTTTGTCATTTTAATCCTTAACCCTATGACTGTTGGTGTCGCATATATATATCTTACGAGCCAGTGTTTTTGATGTATTAATAAGCCAAAATTCAAGCGACTTCAAATCAAGTGGGAGAAAGCTGGTAGGCTCACATGTGGGAGAATGGGTTTGTGTGGTCAGTGTGCACAGTATAAAAAAAAATCCTGCAGCACGCAGTGCTTAATGAGAAGAAAAAACTCTGACCGTGTTTCTGGATTAAAACGCCGACTTTGAGGTGTATTTTCGTATAGTATATATGGCTGTATTCTCATTTTCTTGGTTTCTTTTGGAAGAATGCAAGATATATTACAGAAATAGAGATGATATTGATTGGTTTCACAATGAAAAGTACCTTGAAATTGAGCTCAAAGTAGCAGAAATATTTGATTGTTGCCAATGTTCAAGAGTAAACAAATCACACCTCGTGTCAAATACATATCAATTGGTGAGTCTAATATTCTTTCACGAGTGAGCTGATGTTATTTATACCATTTTTACAATAATGCAGTAGTCTGCATAACAGTAAATCTTCTATTTTTTGTGAGATTAAAAATTCAAAATGGAAAGCAAGAGTAATTTAAGAGGGGCCTGGAGACATGACTAATGAACAGAGAAAATGTTATTTTAGTTCCAGGAATGTCTGTCTTGTTTATTCTGGATCCTATTTTGAAATTGGCATCTTTTGAAATTTAGTTGAAATTGGCCAATTTCTGACCACTTTATTGGGTAGTTGGAATCAGTAAATGGACAGTTTCTTGTACTCACTCGATAGAACAAATGGAGTTTTAAAGAAACTGCAAAGAGTTTGGTCGACTGGAACAATGGAGTTGGCCAAAAATAGGGCTCAGAGTAGCCAAAATAGCTGATGTATATATTTCGCCGAGATTGTTAACTTCACGAGAGCATAATTCCGTAAGTTTTCCATCAAATTTTTTACTTTTGGTGTCATTACCATCGGGAAAAGATTATCATTTCATAAGAAAATATAATTTTTATATTTTTTTAATATTTTGCATCACAGAGAGTCACTTCAGGACTTGGGGTCTCGACAGTCAAAGGGCTAAACTGTCCAAATGTAGATCTGTGTTTTCACTGCTAGCACTCCGAATATTTTGAAAAAAAATAAAAAAAATTTTCTTTTTAACCCTTAAACTGTCCAAACGTAGATCTACGTTCATTCGCGTGGTGCTCCAAATATTTTGAAAAATAATTTTTTTTTTTTTCTTTTAAAATGAAGAGCACATTTTTCTACATGTTATAGTATTAAAAAAAAATATTAGGGTCAGTACTTACTGAGATATAAGACCGTGATGTTGGCTCTGGATGCTCACCTGTCGTCAACATCGACTCCTGCCCCTTGCAGAAGTTTTGCCGATATACCTTTTTTTCTAGTTTTTATTTTAATTTATATATTTTTTATGTTCTGATAATTACAATTTATAATAGTTCTTGTAATTTCATAGCCAATCTTTGTTTTGACACTAATATTAGGTACTGAAATAGTGCTCAAATAGTCA